TCAGCTGTGAGCAGCAGCAGCAGGAAGGCAAAAACAGCAGCAAGCCGCGCCCTCTAATGCTAGCCCCTAGTCAGGCCTAGGAGCCCTTTGCCCTTGGCAGCCGCCAGCATTACCGCTCAGCTCAGGTCAGAGAGCTTCCTCTCATTCCAAAATACCTCACTTCACATACAATTCAGGTAAATGTAGCTGGGAGTTGGAAGTGGTGTTTGAATGGAGGTGGTGTGGTACCTGCCTGCCTGCCTGCGTGCGTTCGTGCGTGTCTGTCTGTGTCTATATGCGTGTGTATGCGTGACATTAGGTTACTGATCTGTTGTATGCTATTCCATACGTACACAGAGCTACAGATACACACATATATGCTCTTGGTAGTGACAGATATGTTTTGTGCCCTGCGTGCTAAATCAAATAACTCAGACACTGCTGTTTTCCCCAGGCTGAACACTTGAGTCATCCTTTCATGCTCCCTGCCCCTTCTAGCCAGTCAAAACGTTCTGTAGACGGCGCGCTGCACTAGGCTGCGCACTGCGTGTCTCCCATTTGTTCTTTCCAGTGCCCAAGCACCACCTTCCTCACCTCTTGTCCAGGTGTCCCTAAGTACTCTCTTGCTCCATTTGTTTTTCCCCATACCAAAGCCATCCCGTCTCAGCTTCATGCCAGCGTTATTTTCCCGAAGCAAAACTCTGAATTTTCTTGCTCAAAAACTTCTAATGGCTTCTTATTACCTTCAAGGTCTACACTCAAATGTTATTTAAAGGTTTCCTTACCTGACCCAAGTGCGCTCTCTCTCTCTCTCTCTCTCTCTCGCTCTCGCTCTCTCACTCTCTCTCGTTCTCTCACTCTCTCTTGCTCACTCTCGCTCTCTCGCTTTCTTTTCCTAACACAGTCAGGTTCACTTAGAAATTGTTTTCTAGGAGCTGGGAGCATAGCCCGATGGTAGAGGGCCTTCTAGGCACCATATCTAGCATAAAAAAAAAAGAAAGAAAGAAAGAAAGAAAGAAAGAAAGAAAGAAAGAAAGAAAGAAAGAAAGAAAGAAAAAGTTCTCTGAACAAATTCCTCCCTCTGCTTTTCCTGTATTTATCTGTATTTCCTACTTTATCCTGTATTTTAGTTCACACTGACCCATCTCTGCTCCTCTGGATCTTACCCATAGAGATGATGGCAATTTCCACTGTAAGCTACACTGAAACTCTGTCTTATGCAAGACTACAGGGAGCCCAGAATTTTATGGACCATCATTTGTGTAAAAGTATCTGATTAAATCAATAAAACAGTCAATAATTCCCTCTGATGTTTTCCTAGTCCCAGGACACTTAAATGTGCTGACAACTGACAATGTAAAATTGAAATGCTCCATCAAATGAGCTAGGAAGGGGGTAGTTTCTTCAGGCCAGCAGGCTCAGCCTCTGGACTGGACATGGAAGGGGCCCAGTTGGAGCTCAGCTTGGTTTGCCTCCTCCATCCCTTTGTGGAGCTGTCAGACAAGTTTGTGTACAGCAGAGGGGAAATGTGCTTTGTGCTGTGCCAAAGGAAAGGGACCCATTATAGTTGGCACCAGGCACCGTACTGGATATGTGCCATTCAGTTGTCCAGTTAACGCTGCTAGTAGTTCTGCGAGGTAGGCCTGCTAATTATTTTAGCAGAGATGATCCAGAGATGAATGAATACTGAAGGTCACAGTGCCGGGATTCCAAAGCAAATCTGATTCTAAAACATGTCATAGCACTTACTGAGATCACATGATACACCAAGTAACTAAATTTGGACTAGCTCCCAAGAAGATACTACAGTATACCTCTGTAGAGGGGCTACATGACCTGTGGAAACCCCCTCCACCTAATGGCATGATTGCAAGAGTTTAACAAGGGCACTCACAAAAGACTGTCCCCATCCTCACTGACAGAGTGCTTCTCTCCATTCAAATCTGGAAACAAGACTCAGAAAGGGACCCTCAGCCATTATCAGCCATGACTCCAGATTTTCCTTTTTAGCATCAACACCACTCTCATCTCTCAGCAATGCCACCCTTTACAATTTTTCTGTTACAGGGTTTGCAGTGTCTCATGTTTCTATGCCTAGTCCTTAAAGCTAGACTACAGAAGCTAGGTGATGCTAATCTGTTCTTTTCAAGGAATGGGATCATCATAAGACTATGACAGAGATATAGGTGTATACTACAAAGAATGAACTCTCAAGGCCAAAGATTCAACACATCATACCATTCAACCAACAGGTACTTACTTCCCTTTGGGCTGTGTGTTCATCAGTAAGAGCATAAAACCAGAGCTAATCATGTGCTAGGCAGAGCGTCTGGGTTGCCATATTTCAGTCACATTCTAGACTGGACAAGCTCAAGTGGAGGAGAAAAGGAAGTTTTAATTTATTGAATACTTACCACATTCTAAGCCCATGCCAAGTAAGCCCACTGGCAAACACACAACTGCACTGAGATCCCCAAAACCCTATGATTCTCAGTGCTCTCATTTTTCATATCTAAAGACTAGGGTCTAAAAGAATTAAAAGATCTTGTTGAAAGCCATATAGTTAAGAAACGGAAGAGCTAAGATTCAAGCCAGATGAAACCCCCAAACTCATGTCCAGACAATTAGAAATAAGTGCCATAAATGCCAACATATCAAGTCATGAAGAAGCCTCTCATGCAGAAGCGGAGGAGGGAGTAGAGACCGGCCATGCTTCACACAGAAGGGGGTGAATGAACTGGGTCTTGATGCTTGGGTAGACATCACCAGGTATTTAAGCTGGTGGAAAACTTAGGTGTAATGGCCAGATGAAAGAAAAGGGTAGGGTGCATTGCTAAATGAAAGAGAGGGAAGGGGTCATGTGGCAGAGGTGATGGAAAGTCCTGTTACCAGACAAGGGAACTTCAGCCTTTTCTTTAGGGACTGAGGAGTCCTAAGCAAAGTGTAGTCTGAACTTGAGTTCTAGAAAGAGTCATTTGGTGGGAGAGTGGAGAAGATTGGTTTGAGTGTGGCAGGCAAGGGTCTAAGCTCAAATATTTTGGGGACCAGCAGAGCTGCTGCGCTGTGAATGGAGCCCAGTGACCTGCACAAACTCAGTGTGCATGCAAAGCAGTGTCAACTACTCCAGCTGAAGACGGACACTGCCAGAAAACACAATCAAGAACACAGATTTTTTTAAATCTTTATTTTTGAAATCTTGGCTTTTAACATCTTGCATTCCTTTGATCTTTGCTATTCCCAATACTGTCTGCTCTAGAACTAAATCCTAAGTTTTCCTCATGCTGTATATGAACTCTTACTGACCTACATGAGAGATGGTGCAGGATCTGCTTGAGTGTTTAAAAACTGCTTGTCAATCTACGACACAGCTATAGGCACATTTGTGTACCATACAAGCACATGTGTGTATATTTATATGTACATATTTGTGTGTAGATGTGTGCACGCACACACATGCACACAGAAGCAGTTGCTGCCATCACTGCTCCACAGACATGCCATGTCTCAGAGTTACCAGATCCCCCAGGAGCCTTGGGCTTCTGCACATCTTACACAATGTATTTGGAAACAGAGAAGCCGTTTGCAACCTGTGGTCAAATGTAAGCCTCCTGTCTAAGGCATCTTTCCATGGCCAAAGAATTGAACTGTGCTGGTTTCGATCCAAAAACAAGAGGCCAATTTTTAGTGGGTGGTTTGATCCTCCAAAAGCATATGACAAACAGGAAAGGGAAACATTCCCAAGAGTAGCTCTACAACAGTTCAGTATCAGCTCTCTGATCTTGTGTTGACTATTGTAGTTCTTACAATCTGCCCTCCCTTGACACTGCTCCAATTCCTCATTCACTGTTCAATTTTCTCCTGCCGGAAATGTTCCGTTTCCTCTCACTGGCCAGTTCTTCTCAAGAAAAGCTACAAATTCTCACATCCAGTGTTTTAATTATTTAACACATTTGCAGTCAATTTCCTGGACCTGAAGAGAGAGTGATCCAGGGTCCCTGACCTCCCAAGAGTGCTCTCCTGGAAGCCAGTACCTCTCACCTTACCCACCAGCCTGACCCTCAGGGGGTGAAAAATCTAATGACTCTCATCACCTGGCCCTACAATTCACCATTCTGATTTATTGAACTTGGCTGAGGGCCTAGCGCTCAAGTCAAACAAAGCTTCTAGCTAGATACAATTCTAGATAATAACTAATTCGTGGAGGCCTGTTTTATACTACGGCAACCAGTAAGCCTCCAAAGATCCTTTCTCTGATCTGCCTTTGTATCTTCTATTTTAAAAATTTTGTGCTTCATATAATTTAATAAAATTGTTCTAAAAACTTGCTTACCTAGCATACGCAAGACCCTGGGTTCAGTTCCCAAAAGCAAACACAGACACACAGACACACACACAGACACACACACAGACACACACACACAAACACACACACATTTACGTTCTTGGAACTCGTAGATTACTCCAACAGAATATTATTCATATACCTACTCTGTCAAGACACTGGTTTGGAGCAAGGATAAGCAACTCATCTATTTTGTAAATAAAGTTTTATTGAAACAACGTTATCATTCATCTACCCATGGTCTATAGTTGTTTTAAAACTAAAACCACAGCTAGTTACTCTTGACAAAGAACTCATAGACCCAAACCAAAAAAGTCTTTACTTCTGGACCTGGGCTAGACACCAGGCACTTTACAGGAAGCTTTCTGGCTACTGGTTCTCCTAGTGTTTAGTGCAAATGCTGATGAACCCTAAAATCTATAGCTCTGTTTAGATTTCTCACCAAAGCTCCAAAATCAGTTCCAATGCATTTTGGACATCTCTGCATGCTATCCCAATATTCTCATATGAACCTCTTTTCCTACAGTGTCCCTTGTTCTTTTAAGCTATCATTGTGACTAAATCCTGGATCTTGGTCACATGGGAGCCTCCACAGACCTTTCCTTCATGCACATCAAAGAGTCATGAACTCCTCTGTGTCCTCTAAAGCCTTTGCTTCTCCTCAGTCCTGCTGTCACACTGACCTTCATCACCTGCGTGGGCCACTGCAGAAGTTCCCCTTTTCCACCTGCGGAGTCCTTTCACTGTGAAGAGATAAAGAAAGAGCCAAGCTGAGACACAAAGAAAGCACAGTCTTCACAAGAGGCCTTACAGCCCCAACAAGGCCAAAGTGATCATCTGTATAGCTCTTACCACGCCCCAGGCAGAGCTCTGGTGACTGACTTTTGTTAGTCCATTGATCTTCATAATAAACCTCGAAGGTGGGCACTCTTCCATACCCAAGTTATTGACTGAGAAAGTGGGGCTTGATGAAACAGGAATATGTCCAAGGTCACAGTGAGCCAAGCCGGGAGAGGAGCTGAGAAGCAAATCCAGGCAGCTGGCGGGAGCCAATGCTGAGCCAAAGCCAGCTCAGATGACAATGTCTTCATGGGCGGTGCCACTTGTCAACAGAGTGTAGAGAATTCTCAGCGGAACTCACCCTGGCATGCCAGGCCACTCCCTCCGCTGTCAGGAGTGAGAGCCAAGGCTCCTCACAGCAAGCAAGCCCACACTTCAGAGCTGCACTGTCTGTAGAGAACAGGGTTTGAGGATCCCAGCTGGGGCAATGTCAACCCTTCAGCAAGCTTCCTCCTGCAGTTGTCTAAGATGAAATCCATTACTGAGCCCCCTCTCTACTCCCAGGTCTGTCACTCTACAAGCTTTTATCATGAATAGCAACACACTTAAATATTCAGCAAACACCCTGTAGAGTGCAGATACTGAAAGCACATACAAAAGGTCACTCTTTCAAGCCCCTCCCACCCCCACCCCCCTAGAACTTATAAGAAGACCCCAAAGCCCTACTCTTGATAAAATAGTGCTTTAAAATGTAGGCCTGTCTTGCCCTGATTTTTGCAGCACTGTCTTTCTCTTGTCTCTGTTGGGTAAAATTGGGAGGAAAGGGTGAGTAAAACGACAGTCAATTCAGTTCATCTGAGCCAAATATACTGAGTTTGCTCCACGTCATTTCTGGCCTTGACATTGAAAGGGACAAACAGGAGTGCCAAATAACTCCTGCCTTGAAGAAGTTTTCAAGTGAGCAGTGGGATCAATTATGTTTACATAAACATGGCACTATTATATTATTCTGTTTGTTACTATAACAAAATACCCAAGGCTGGGAACTTCATAAAGAAAATAAATTTGTTTAGCTCATGGTTTGGGAGGCTTACAGTCCAAGATAGTGTGGTTCCCATCAGTTTTGCCTCTGGAGGGTCCCTGTGACTCATCATAATATAGCAGATGTCTTCATGGAGGAGTGTTGGGGACCCCTGCTGTGTGAAGTAGCAGTCTCTCCATGTCCGGAAAGCTCATGAGCTCGGTTTCATATGCAGAAGACTCTTTTTAACAGCAGTTTGTCTTTCCTAGCATTTTCCTGACTCACCTTTTTGAAGTGCCCGCCACAAATGCCCTAACATAAACATGGCCTCTGGCTCTGGAAATACCATGCTTTCCTGTGTGATTTTTCAGGTAGTCTGGCAGCATGGCAGGAGCCCACTTCCATATGTAAAGAGGGTATCTCGCAAAGTGCCTATCAGCTAAAGCTTTTACCACTGCCCCCACGTATAAAATATTCCAGACTTCTCTCAATAATTTGGAGCTGGAAGCGGAGCTGGAGCTAGAGCAAGAACTAGAGCTGGGACACTGAATAAAGAGCTGTACCACTGAATCTGACTGAGCTGAGTCTGTGTCTCCTGCCTGCAATCTAGTCTCCCCGGGGGGCAGCATTCCTCCGTCACCGACTCACGGATCCCAGCTTCAGCCACCCCGTACTTTCCCGTGTGGTCCAGCGGCTGGTGGAACTCGCATATTGAGGAAAGTACACGGGTGAAATAAGGGTGGGACCCGGCTGGACAACGCTCCAGCAGCAGAGAGCCACGGAAGATGCAGGGGAAAACCCCCCCCCCCCCCCCCGGAACTCGCTGCCTTCCAGACCATGTGCAGGGGACCGATCCCCGCGGGACCCCGCGCACCATAGAGGAGCATGTGAAAGAGAAGGAGAGCAGTCACGTGCTGAGGCACCAGCCTTGCTCTTTTATAACAACTTACTCTCAGAGGAATTCACACACTACAAGACCAACATGAATCCCCTTTGAGGACCGTTCCTCCCAGTGACCTCTTAAAGAGTCCATCGCTCCTAACCTCTCCATCCTAGGGACCAAGCTTCTAAGACATTAGCCTTCAAGTCACCAAAGCAGCTCTATCATTTCCCACGAAAGAGAAACATGAGGGGAGCTACAGTGGATGCCACTCACTGGGGCCCTCTGGGTGCTGGTACTGTGTTAAGTGCTACAAGCCTTCCAACACCTTGTTTATTTCTCACTAGAACCCTGTAAGGCACATATTGGTTTCACATAACAAATGAGAAAACAAAGGCCACTCCAGGAGATTAAATAATCTTCCTTACAAATAGAAAGCTGGGATTTAATCCTAAATTATTCAGACCTCAAAGCCCATTATTTTCCCCAAAGAGTAAGTAAAATGTTTATGAGGATAATTTGGGCCAGTGCATGCCCAGCATAGGGAAGAGAATGACTGGATGCCCAGAGACAGGAAAGAGTCGGGTGGGTGTTGATGACAGAAGGAAGAGGGACTGAGTGGCACTTAGTCTTGGAAGTTGGGGGCTTTAACTGGGGGGTTGTGGAGGCTCATTTAATGACCAGGGGCAAACCAAATACGTGACATTTTAGCACCTGAAGGCAGCCTTGGAAATTTCTACCTTTGGGGGCTGGAGAGATGGCTCAGCATTTAAGAGCACTGACTGCTCTTGTAAGGACCTGGGTTCCATTCCCAGCACCCACATGGCGACTCAAAATCATCCTCAACTCTAATTCCAGGGGGTCTGATGCCATCTTCTGGCCTCTTCAGGCACTGCATGCACATAGTGCACTTACATACTTATAGGCAAAACTCAGACACATACAATTTTAAAAATTAAAATTTTCAAAAAAAGAAAGAAATCTCTCTTTTCTGATATTTTAATGCAAATCATGCCCTTAAAAATGCTTCTATGATCTTTCAGCGCAACAGAACTTTGAGCAATGTTGGACTATGTAAACATCAACTTCCAGGGTAGCGCACTTGTCCTTCGATTCATTCTTCATGCTCTGGTGAGAGAGATAACAGGGACTCCACAGCCCTAGCTAATCACTCCTTCTCTATTGCTTTGCATCTCTGCTTCATAAGAGGGGAACTAAATCAGTTTGTGGGCCCTCTACTGGGATTGGTATGTGGCAGTAATAGAGAGTTTGAAGTTTAGCCTTCAGAAAGTTGCTTCCATTTGCTGCTCTTTATCACAGTCAGTGATTCAAAACGTCAACCACAAGAAAGGACAGAGTCTGAAGCATACTTACTGGATGAAAAGAGAGAGATAAGGAGTAGGCAGGAGAAAGGTTGTAAAAGAAAGCCAACCCATGTTTTCAGTAATAATAACACACATTTCCACATTGTCTAAAGATGGGATCTTATGAACAAGAAGGCTCACGGTTACTAGGAAGAAATGAGCATAGACAAACCAGGCAAATTTCCAGAAGTTTGCAGGATGATGTGCAAGAGTGACCTCAAAGGCCAAAGGACTCAGATCATGAACTCACAGCAAGAACAAGAGAGATCAGCCTCTCATGCTAAAGCTGGAGAAGCTGAAGGCCAGGGATGGCAAGAACTTAACCAAAGTCACACAGATGGAGAGATGGAACAAGCTCCAAAGCACCCTGCTTTCCAGCCCAGTATCGGTATGAGGCACCTGCTGTCTTCTAGGAGAATGTGCTAGTAAGCATTTAGAGGTCAGAAAGTGACTGTGAGAAGGCCACAAGGAGCATAAAGAATAATGTGAAGTGAGCTTTGAGGAACAGATAGGATGTAATGAGCAGACAGCAGAGGACACTGCAGGAAGTAGGGGATGCCCTCTACCTAACCAGAGTATGCCAAGCTTGGCATCTCAGTATCTAAAAAAGAAGCAGATTGCCACAACAGTAAAATTAAGTTCCCCTTCCCAGAAGAAGTGTAAGCCATTACAGAGACAAGAAATCTAAATCCTTGTGTCCCGGTTAACAGTCTTAAGAAACCAACAAGCTCCTTGAAAGGTTGAAATGCAGAAGAGGGGGGAATCCCTCCTCCTGCCTCCCACCTCAAGGGAAGAATGTTTCCTGCTGGCAGCTATAAACATTCATGAAGCACCCTAAGGGCTTCATCTTGGCAGGGCAGCCAGGCCAAGGGACAGAATGGGAGGACAGAATCCAGCTCCCCTAGAGTCTTATCCATCCACCAGTGAGGCAGCACCACAGGCAGCCTGAGTCACCTCCCAAATCATGCCCAGTTCACTGGCCCATTGCCAAGCTCCCTCAGCCAGAATGGAATTACGACTCTAAAACAATGAGGGCAAAGGTGGGAGCTAACACTGGAGAAGCATTTTCAAGATGAGACCAGATGAAAAGCCTAGAACCCATGCCAACACAGGAGAATGACATACATGTAAAGTACGCATAGGAAGAATTAAGATTGAAAAGAAAAATGAACACGGCTATGTTCAGTTAGTGGGATGCTGGGTGGTTTTCTCTTCTTTTTAACAATCTTCATTAGTATTATATGTGACTTAAATAATAAATAAAGATATGCACAATAATTTTGTCAGCTATGCTTACATTTCTGTCCAATCAACACCCAAATATACTGAACCAGTAAAAGAAGCAGGTAAGATTTTTCTACATTTACCCTAATCCTCATCTCCTCATCTCACTTTATATCTTGCATTATCTTGCTCAAACTTAGTTTCTTAACCATTATCTCAACCTACTGATTCTCTCCCTCCTCCCTACAACGTAGATGGTGTTAGAGATGTTTCCAGTGCCCAGCAGTGCATCAGATTACCTGATGAAGGAAGGTACCTGCAGATAGGTTGTCCTCCAGGGCGATGTATTTGTAATCCTTTTTTTCAGTGCTAGAGCTCTGTGCATGCTAGGCAAGCACCCTACCAAGTCCCCAAGATAATATATTTGCTTGTAGCTATACTGTCTCCAAAAACTGCCACTGTCAACATTTTAGA